CCTTTAGAAACTTGTGTAAGGAATCGTTCAGGACCCTGTATACCACTTATGTCAGACCAATCGTGGAATATGCAGCTCCAGCCTGGAGTCCATACCTAGTCAAAGACCATAGTCTAGTCACACACAAGACAAAGTTAGAGAAGATTCAGAGGTATGCCACCAGACTCGTCCCGGAACGGAGAGGTATGAGCTACGAGGAAAGGCTAAAGGAGCTGAATCTCACGTCAGAAGAGTAAAGGGAGACATGATAACCACCTACAAAATTCTCAGGGGAATTGACTGGGTGGACAACTCTTCAGCACGGGTGGGACACGAACAAGGGGACACAGGTGGGAACTTAGTACCCAGATAAGCCAGAAAGACGTTAGAAAGATTTTTTTCAGTGTCAGAGTAGTTAATAAATGGAACACACTAGAAAGTGATGTGGTGGAGGCTGACTCCATACACAGTTTCAAGTGTAGATATGATAGAGCCCAGTAGGCTCAGGAACCTGTACACCTGTTGATTGACAGTTGAGAGGCGGGACCAAAGAGCCAGAGCTCAACCCCCGCAAGCACAACTAGGAGAGTACTTGTGTAAGCACAGTAGTGTACACATAACGGGACACGCAGCACGGTGCAGGGGTGGGAGTACGCTGGGAGCGGGAGGGGGGGGGGGGTAAGGAAGGGGGCGGGTGAGAGGGGGGTACAGGGAGGCCCGCCCCCCCCCCCCCCAGCAGAGCAAGACTGAGGCGGCCTGGTTAGTAGGTCATCGATTTCCTGGGTGTTATTTACAGGGTCTTCCAACACTGTCTTGAACTGGTGGTGGTGTGCACTCTCTTCCCCCCCCCCCCCACACACCTACTCTCTCTCACACACCCCACTCTCACTCCCCCACACACCCACCCACTCTCCCCCCACACACCTACCCACTCTCCCCCCACACACCAACCCACTCTCTCTCCCCCCCCCCCACACCCACCCACTCTCTCTCTCCCCCCCCCCCCCACACCCACCCACCCACTCACTCCCCCCCACACCCACCCACTTTCACCCCCCCCACACCCACCCACTTTCACCCCCCCCCACACCCCCCCACTCTCACCCCCCCCCCCCCACACCCACCCACTCTCACCCCCCCCACACCCACCCACCCCCCCACTCACCCCCCCCCCACACCCACCCACCCACCCACTCTCACTCCCCCCCACACCCTAGTGTTCACTCTGAACGACTCCGACATAAGGGAAATCGGTTTCGAGGCCCCAGTAGGAATGAGCGACCACAGTACACTGGGTTATTGAAGAAGGGTTATTGAACTCGAGGAGGGGTACTGAAAACAAAAGGCTGGCATTCCGAAAGGGAAACTATGAGGAGATAAGAAAATTCCTAACAGATATAGCATGGGAAACAGAGCTCTGGGGAAAGACGGCCCAAGACATGATGGACTACATCACGCAGAAGTGCAAGGAAGCAGCAAACAAGTTTGTCCCAGTCCAAAAGGAAAACAACGAAATGAAGATGAGAAACCCATGGTTTAATCAGAGATGTAGGCTAGCTAAGCAGCAAAGTAAAAGGGCATGGAGAAACTATAGGAATAACAGGACACTGGAGAGCAGAGAAAGATACCAGAATGCCAGGAATGAATACGTCAGGATGAGAAGAGAGCCAGAAAGACAATACGAAAATGACATCGCAAGCAAGGCAAAGACTCAACCTAAATTGCTGCACAGCCACATCAGGAGAAAAACAACAGTAAAGGAACAGGTAATGACATTAAGGATAGCGGCGGAAGGATTCACTACAAACGACAAGGAAGTGTGTGAGGAACTGAATAAGAAATTCCAGGTCTTCACCTTAAAGCAAGGAGAAATTCCACAGATAAGAGAGAGAATAGTTAAGCAGGAACCACCACTAGAAGAGTTTGAGATTACCAGTGGGGAAGTAAGGAAGTTGTTACTAGAGTTGGATGTGACAAAGGCTATAGACCCAGATGGAATCTCCCCTTGGATACTAAAGGAAGGAGCTGAAGCACTGTGCCTGCCACTCTCCATAGTGTATAACAAATCACTGGCAACAGGGGTGTACCAGAAATTTGGAAAGCAGCTAATGTAGTCCCGATATACAAGAAAGGGGATAGACAGGAGGCACTGAACTACAGGCCAGTGTCCCTAACCTGCATACCATGCAAGCTGATGGAGAAGATTGTGCGAAGAAAGCTAGTGGAATATCTGGAGCGAAAGAACTTTGTAACACAGCATCAACATGGGTTCAGAGATAGCAAGTCCTGCCTCAAAGGGCTAATTGAATTCTACGACCAGGCAACAAAAATCAGGCAAGAAAGAGAGGGGTGGGCAGACTGCATATGTTTGGATTGCCAGAAAGCCTTTGATACAGTACCACACAAGAGGCTAGTGAAAAAATTGGAGATGCAGGCTGGAGTCTACACACTTGACAGGGTAGACAAGGATGGATTATTTAACACACATGGTACAGGAACTAGGGGACACAGGTGGAAGCTGAGTACTCAAATGAGCCACAGAGACATTAGAAAGAACTTTTTCAGTGTCAGAATAGTTAATAAATGGAATGCACTAGGAAGTGATGTGGTGGAGACTGACTCCATACACAGTTTCAAATGTAGATATGATAGAGCCCAGTAGGCTCAGGAATCTGTACACCAGTTGATTGACGGTTGAGAGGCGGGACCAAAGAGCCAAAGTTCAACCCTCGCAACCACAACTAGGTGAGTACTTACTCCCCCCCACCCCCACCCACCCACCCACCCACTCTCACTCCCCCACCCACCCACCCACCCACTCTCACTCCCCCACCCCCCACCCTCCCACTCTCACTAGCGTTCTATCCCAACCTGTCCTCAGGGAAGAAATACGCATACGGGAATGGAATGAGAACGCATACATAATAAGTGTTATTATCTACTCTCTCCATGGTTAGGTTATCATTTACTTAGGTTAGGTTTCATTATGTTTAGTTAGGTTAATATGGTATATTAGTGACAATAATGTGAAGTATGGAATTCGAGAACTGTGTGTGCACTCGAGAATTCTGTTTACTGAAAACCAAATGCTTCAAAGAAAACGTCTTCAGCATATATTTTTTATATTTTAAACCAACGATTTATATTACTATAAACATATAACTTGAGAATAATCTCTATTTAGGACAAAGGTTCACTTGCAAATTTACATGTAGATTATTACTGGAACTGTAATATGCTTTCAGGCCATCACAAACAACTAGATAACTACCAAGGTGGTTTGAGGGGGTGAGGGTTGGGGTCGGGGGGGGGGGGTGTTCTCATGGTAATGGATTTGCTAGGACAGGTTCGTGCCTCTCCACCTCTCAGAATATGTAATAATGTAACCAAAATCAATTCACATTTGCTTTTGAGTGAACTATACAAATTAGGTGCAGTTAAATTGTATTCAACGCAGTTAAATGGTGGGAGTAAGCCTTAGAACTCTACGGAAAACACAGCCCCTGATTTTATTCCAGACTTCATGGGGAGGCGGGGTATAAATGCTAATATTTCTTAAAGCATGGCACTTGGGCCGACCCTGACTGGCTGATGGCATTCAAATCTCCCCCCCCCCCACATGTTTCAAGTTGTAAAACTAAGTAAAGCTAAGTAAGGCCCCAAACATTTGGCCTCCTATTATGTATACTTTATACAGTATATGTACATGTGCACCAGTTGCATAGTGCTCCTGGCTGTCTAGGTTCGAGTCACTTCTCGTGTGTGGAGTTTTCAGTTGCACATATGCCTGGGGACCATTCAAGCGTGTTCGCACAGTATATAAAGTATATACACCTCCTATTTTATATATTTTATACTACGGGAGGGATACCCAGCGATGCCCGGGGTTGTTTTTCCCCCCCAACCCCCCCCCCACCCTCTTCTCCTCCCCATCCCCTTTCACTCCTCTTCCCAGCCCTTCTCCCACTTCCTTTCCTCTCCCATATCCCCCCCCTTCTCACCCTCCCTTTCCTCTCCCATATCCCCCCCCCCTTCTCACCCTCCCTTTCCTCTCCCATATCCCACCCCCTTCTCACCCTCCCTTTCACCCATTCTCCACATCCCCCACTCTCTTTGTCCACCATCCTTCCCCCGGCCTCGTCTGGCCTCCGACCTCGAACACACATTTCCATTTATATGGAAAGGGGATTTATATGTAGAGGGGAACCCAACAATGCCTGGGGCTCCCCCCCCACTTTGCTCTCCCCCTTTTCCCTTCTTCCTTCCCCACATCTCTCCCCCATCTTCCCCCCTCCTACTCTCCCCCTTGCCCTGCCTCTCCCTTTATCACCCCCTTGTCCCCCACTCTTCCCTAGTCCTCCGCTCACCCCGTACCCTCATCTTACATCTTCATAGTTCAATATTTTCATCACTAACAAACTTTACTATTGGCTATTTTCATCACTAGCCTACCATGGTTACCTTGCATCAGCCACGACCAGCCTGTCTTTGTCACGTACCCGAGATCATTTACTGTGAGAAGTTGAGTGCGGCTCGCCCCACGCATCTTGCCTTCAGCCTTGTACGTACATACGTATGTGCACATGCACACGCACACGCACACGCACACGCACACGCACACGCACACGCACGCACGCACGCACACACACACACACACACACACACACACACACACACACACACACACACACACGCACGCGCACGCACACGCACACACACACACACACACACACACACACACACACACACACACACACACACACACACAGAAGAGTTAGGGGGGACATGATCACCACATACAAGATTCTCAGAGGAATTGATAGGGTAGATAGGCAGACTATTTAACACAAGGTATTATCTGACTACAATACTGACGCAACTTTATTTTATTTCCATTTTATTTCTCTGTAATGATTATTCACTAGTAATCCTGAATAATAATTTATAAATTTCAATGCAGTGGTGTAGTGCATGGTGTATATACTGCAGGGAGTGGCTAGTAAAAGTTGTTTATGTTTCAGATCAATCTCCGCCTCATCCTGGTGAGCGGAAAGACGAAAGAGTTCCTCTTCAGCCCCAGTGAGTCAGCAGGAGATATAGCACAGTTTGTATTCGACAATTGGCCTGAAGGTAAGTGCTCACACACACGCTTCCTTCAGCATCCAGTGTGACAAGTCACTCTGAAATGTTGTTGTTATTTCTGTACTTATACTAAGTACAAGGTGCCATGGACATTTAGGGCTAGACATGTACAATAAGTACTTTAAGTTTAAAATTTGTTTTAATAATTGATTCTCACACACTGTTTCATCTGATTTGTTTCTTCACTGTCCGATGTACTGTTTTTACATTACATTATATATACTGTACTGTATATGACCTTCAGACAATACAGGGTGGGACCTACTCAACTTGAATATTTCATAGCATTTTTGCTACTTTTATGGACTAGGTCTCTCTCAAAGGAAAACTACTTACTCGGTGTAGGGACTAAAATTAATTAAGAGTGAGGCAGCAATATATATATCCCTCATTTAGCCAGATATTTGTGTATCTGTGTATCTTGTTTGCACCTCTGGAGTGCCTCTTGAAGATGTCTACCTTGGTTCCGGCAATATTTCTGATATGAGATTAAGGAAAATCACTGGTGCCCTGTGGCACCACTGATTTTCACTGAAAAGCACTGTGCCTGGAGGTACAGAGCTTTTTCCTGAGCTTGCACTCGATTTTATTTGGTTGACTGTAGAAAATTTAATATCCATTGCCTTACTTTATCTGTTATTCCTACTGACCTTACTTTGTGGGCTATCACTCCATGGTCACATTTATTAAATGCCTTTGCAAAATCCATATATACCACATGTACATTGTTTTTCTTCTATCTATAGAAGTGCAATCTATAGAAGCACAATCTTTCTGCGCTAAACTCATATTGACCTGGGTTGTGGGGGTCATTGGTCTCTATGAAACTGGTGACTTGTCTCTTGATCACTCTATCAATAACTTTTACTATGTGGGATGTTAGTGTGACTAGTCTATACTGTACTGTAATTCTTAGCCAATACTTTCTCCCTCTCAGTACTCTCTTCTCTAGGTAGGGAAGCTATATTTGCTGATTAAAGTGTTTCTGGTATCTTCCCACTGTCCAAGCTTCGTTTTTCACACTATACCGAATGCTTATGCTACTAGCACTTTGCATTTCTTTTTACTTATTGAATTCCACAAGTATAGATCTGGGGCAGAGTGCAAGGGCATGTTGTCATAATTTCAAAATCTGCAGCATTCGTGTTGATATAGGTTATACAGTATTGTCATGGATTTGGATATCATGTATAAAGACACTGTCTTGATCTTCCATTTTCATTCTGTTTATTGGGGTGCTAAACTTGTCTTCATGTTTGTTCAAATTTGTTACAAATGAACCCGTAGGTGGGGGTAATTACCATCTGTAGGTACACTATCGGCTATAGTTTCTGTGCTCTAACCACAATAGCTTCTTAACAATCCCTTACAATTTTTTATGCATTGACACACACATTGTTTGATTTTTGGTAAAGTAGGTGAAAGGTCAAGATTTCAAAAATATAAAAAAAAAAGTCAACTTTTTTAAATACTGTAGTCCCTACTTTAGCCATAATATGCTAATGGGACTTATTTTGACATTGAGATATGTGGAGTTGCATCTTTAATGTACAGTATTGTATTTCATTCATTGAGACATTAGATTGTATTACTATACAGTACAGTATTACTTTAAGTACTGTACTGTATACATTTTTGGTGTCCTTATTTTATCTATACTATCTTTTTTACAGAATGGGCAGATGAAAGTGTCAGCAAGGCAGAAATTTTACGTTTGATTTACCAAGGGCGGTTTCTTCATGGAAATGTAACGTTAGGAGCTCTGGGCCTTCCTGCTGGCAAAACTTGCGTCATGCATCTTGTGCCCAGAGAGAATCTGCCGGAGCCAAACTCACAAGGTATGAAATGGCATTTTCACCATTTTGATTGATGCTGAATTTACATTTCTATGTGTATGGTATATACAGCATATTGTAGCATTTGCACTTCAATAAATTAATTTTCATATTAAACTTTTGTGGGAGGGGTCCCCCTTAGTAGCTTCTTGAGCTAGCCACCTGGTTAGTCTCCACCCATCATGCCACACCATGCCCTTACAAGTCATAAACGACTACTGCACACGGGAAGCACAGTATGGTACACTCATTAGAGTTGAAAGGAGTGTGGGGATATGTAAATCGACCCAAGCCAAGAGGAAAACTATCAGAAAAGTAGAACACCTATCAAAGTGCTCAAAGCAAAGTACCATTCTCATATAAAAATACTGTTCATAAATGGCCTCAGTCAAATGCTGAACTGTATTTGGAACTTTCACAGAAACCCATTCTGGGGAATTCATGGACAGAGAGATCTGTATACCAGAATATAATCTATATACAGGCAGATGTAATAGTATATAGGTAGCATGGAGTACTGTATGTTTGTATATTAAAGAGGACCTGGTATGCCCAGAGCTCCTTAACTCTACAAATGAGGAAGTGGAGTAAAAATAGAGAAAATAAACTTGGTTATTATTGTTGTTGTACAAACTACCAGATGCAATGGCTGAGGAATTCACAGATAAACAAAATAAAGAATAGCCTCAATAATCTACCAAACCCAATACAGTACCTGATATTATCTTCCTAGGAGACTTCAACCTGTCTAGTCTAAGATGTAGAATAGCAAACAATATTATACAAGGAAATCTATCTGGAAATAACCAATCACAGATCAAAGAACTACTTAGATTCTGTAACAAACTTTTGCTCACCCAGCAGATAAAAGCCAACTTGGACAGAAAATATTGAATATGTAATCTTTACAAACAGTCTGGGACATTATGATCTCAGATACCACATACTCGGGTCACAAGCTTATTGAAGGTGCAAACTAACGTCAATACTCGTAATATGTCCAAACAAATTATCAAATGAGAGGGGGTTATATAATAAATTAAATTTTAAAGGTAAGGTCTTCCGACATGAGTACACCCAAATCCTTTACATTGGTTCTTCGTTCTATGTTATGATTTGACTGTGTTTTGTAAGTGGTTTCCGTTTTTATATTTTCATTTTTTCGGTAGCGCAGGAGTTGGACCTTATCTTTGTTAAACACCATATTATTTTCTGTAGCCCATAGAAAGACTTGAGTTACATCTGATTGGAGGTTTGCCATGTCTTCTATGTTGTCTACTCTTATAAAAATCCTGGTGTCATCTGCAAAGGATAATACAGTACTATAGATTGTATCCTTGTCTATGTCCGATATGAAAATGAGAGAGTACTGGAGCAAGCACAGTACCCTGGGGGACTGAGCTCTTTACAGTTGATGGACCGAATTTTATCTTATTGACTATTACATATTGGGTTCTGTTAGTCAGAAAATTGTAGATCCATCTGCCTATTTTTTCCAGTAATTCCTTTTGAATGCATTTTGTGTGCAATAACACCATGGTCACATTTGTCGAAGGCTTTTGCGAAATCTGTGTAAATTACATCAGCGTTGCGTTTGTCTTCCATGGCATCTAAGGCCATGTCATAGTGGTCCAGCAACTGTAATAGGCAAGAGTGCCCTTTCCTGAAAACATGTTCTCCAGGGTTATTGAGATGCTGTGATTCCATGTATTTTGTGATCTTACTTCTTAGCACTCTTTCAGATTTTTATGATTTTTGACTATTGAGTGGACCAGATTTTACTTGTGGTCTGCAGTAGGCTTCTTTGACCCATAAGGGTCTAGCATGCATGATTAGTGTGGATCTAACCAGGTGGTTAACCACTGATAGGGCCCAACCTGACCTGAAGGCACATTATATAGTGAAGTTGAAACCCTAAGAATTCTTAAAAGAAGTTTTCCATCTCCCAGCATTGAATATTGACAGGGACATGTTATACACTGGAGGTAGCAGATGCACTAACCTTTGTTTATGATGGTGTCATCTCGACACCGTATTCGACAAGATTTAAAATTGAACTAGAAACTGGCAAGTTATACAGAAAATCAACTGAGAAAAACTTTTCACACATCTAGAGTCATTCAGTCCCAAGTTCTTGTTCTGAATCAGCACTAGAACCAGTAACATATCCCCAAAGTTAATATAAGAATGTGTCATGTGTCTATTCTTAAACTCAGTGGTTTGAAAAAGAGGCCTTGGCTTTCCAGCATCTGACACACAGCCCACACACACAACTAACATGACTTGCAGTGCTAATTAATTGTGCAAACTCTTGGAGAAAATGAATTGAGTTAGACTTTATTAAAGACTGTTCTTGATACTGTAATTGTTTAAGTACAGTACTGCTAAAGTACTTTACTAGTAATGTAGTACAGTACTGTATTTAATTTGGAGAACAGGCACTTAATGACAAAATCTGAATATGTACTGAATATTTACATTTATTACAGATCAACGACAAAAGAGCAAGGGTGGATCTTCGAGCTGCTGTTCTGCTTCTTGTGCCATCCTCTAGTGACCATGGACCTACCATCATTGGCCCCGTGTCACCAATGACCACATCTCTAAGTCACAGCCATATTTACCATCCACTGCCTATCCAACACCAGTCAGCACCGTCAACTACAATGCTATAATCTGGCTACATTATGACAAGAGTAACTTGACTCCATTCATCAGGCTCTGGTGACTTGTTAATGTAGTGCTGTTTCCTCACACCCTGACAATACACACTATGTATCTTGTACAGCAAGAATGCATAAGAATTTTAAAAATTGGGCTGTTTTTATATTAAAGCTACTAAATATTTAAACTGGTAATTTATAGTGAAGGAGTTGTGTAGTGTTGATGTGCAAGTAACAATTATATTGACTGTTCAGAGACATTATATTGCATGATCATCACTCAAGGTGGCCTTCGTAATAGCCCAATGCAGGAATACGTAAGTGCTGTAAAAAGAACTAGTGTAGTAAACTGGTGCGCTCTTGTGACAGGCCACGTTAAAAGCTCCCTCCAGCTCTCCTGTTGAATCCCAGATACCATGTATCAGTAAGTAATTTTGCAAATAGATATCCTGTCTTGCAAGTCACAAATGCTGAAGCTAGAGTGAAATAGAAAAGTTTATTGTATTTTTTTTAATATTTTTTTTGCTATTGATAACAAGTATTTTTTTTATCTGTAAATGAGAATGATAAGTGTTGGTAACAAATTAAGTGAAGGATGGTGAGAGAACTTTCCCCCTGGGTGGTTTAGTCTGTGATGAACTTCTTCCTCCTTGTCCTCCCAGTTTGATGGTGGGGAAATGACTGTGAGAGTATCACATGCTTGATTCAAAATGGTTTGTGTGTTGACTTTTGCAGAGAAATGTGTGCAGGCAAAGACAGTAACGTGTCTTGCAATATTGGAATGTAAACTCCATGTAATTTGGAGTGGCAAATTTCAGAGCTTTCATCCAGTGACTGATGATGGGTGTTTAGGCACTGGTACAATTCATGATTGTACATATATATAAATATATATATGATAAGCAAATAAAAAGATTATGTGATATAAATGATAATGTGTAGGCCACTCATGTAACTGTTTCATCTGTCCAGACAATGTTTCAAGGTGGTTGTCTACACCTGTGTTGCTTTGTTTGTTTCTTGCCAGTGTAGGTCAGATATCCTCCGGCATGATACAGGGCATGCTGGCAGTGTGGGGGCAACTAGGGTCTTACCTTCTACAACCACAAATTCTGATGCCAGTCCAGAAATGCTGGGCACTTTTTGTTATTAATCTTAACTTAAATCAATATTTTTCTTTTACTGTAAATGTTTTACTATAGCATGAATTTTTATCCAGCATATATTTGTATTTATCATAGAAATAATAATAAATCTTCGCATTGATCCTGAAATTAGATAACATTATCATTTTAAACACAGAAATGATTCATATCAAGACTTGAGAATTGGTGCTTTACCCAGCATGCCCCATGTGACCTGATGCCTGACCCCTCCAGTCACACAGCTATTGGTGTGGCAGCCACTTTCTTTTATAACGAACAGTACAGTGAGCAAAGCTTTAGTACCGTATAACACTCCCAGCTTGCAGAGTTCCAGTCCACTGTGATTGAAGCTATCCACTTAATCAGTGTGCTCTTTATTTAGCCATACTAGAATTACTATGTAATCTGTCAATATAGACTGTATTATTCATACTCTATCTTCCTGCTTCAGTCACAGTGGTGGGTAATGCTCAGCTATTTGGAAAAATACATAAAGTTAAGAGCAAACTCCTTTAGAAAGATTTTATTAAAGTGTGTGTGACCTGAGTTATTATCCTCATTGTAGATCTGAGAAGATAGTCATGTAGTTTGGCTAGAAAAATCACTTGCAATCCTACAATGAGAACATTTATCTTGTAACTTCATTGTCTCATTTTTCAGATATGAGAATATGTGAGTGTTTGCATGTTTTCTTTCTAAAAAAAAATATATATATCTTGGCATTTACCATGAATGTCTTTGTGCTATACTCATCATTTCATCACATTTCATTTCATAATAACTCATAATTATGTGCTCATTCCCCATCAGCATGTCAAATATGATTGTAACGTTCCTCAACACGATGAGTAACGTGTGTAATATTCCTCAACATATGACATCTACAGTGTTCCTCATCATGAGAAATGCTCCCTCAATCCATATGGTAGCTGGGAGAAACATTTACCACCCACACTTACTTTAAGGTTGAGTTTCTAATATTCTGGTGATTATCATACCTCATCGGAGTAAACCCCTCAGTCATCAAGAGGGCGGCTCTATGTGAGAGATGGTAATGTTAATGAGCAATCCTGCAAGTACCTCAGATGTAATTGTTTTCTTCAGATTGTTTATTTTTTAATTATTTTGTTCATAGGTGATTATAAGGATGACATACAGGTTATTTTTAAAATTACTTAGCCTTAAGTTTCAGATATTTGGTAGCCAAATCACAAGTTTCTTATTTGTTTGAAGGTCATGTTAGTAGTTCAACACTGCCAAGACCTCGGTCATGATTATAGATTGTGGCATAACGAAGCGAGTCGTGGCTTGTTCCAGGTCTTGGAGTCATGGCATCTTTCTCTCTTGATGGAAAATATGCCATAAAAGATCAGATCTGAAGCCTATTAGTTTCAAAAACTCAAATCGATTTATAATGCTGTATATCTATGAAAATGGTAGAATAAATGGGCCTCACTTTTTTTCTTGGAAGGTTAGTTCACGTTGTGCTGTAGTAACCAGTTACCATTTTACATCAAAATATTGTGCAATTGACACTTACAGATAATTTGTATAAAAATATACTAGGAACATTGTATGTATTATGATAGGGAGATGCGATAAATGTTGGCTCCTCAAGGTATATTGCACAAAATTACATATCATTATAATGGCAGTCATTTCAGTTTAATGACATTTGTTTTTTTATTTCTTGATGAATTTGCTCAGATCCAAGGCCACATGATTGACTTACAATGAGTTCTCTAATGAGTCAGGATTCGTGTTACAGTACTGTAAAGCTTACAACGATCAAAGTTTTATTTACATCATATTTAAGTCATTTTAAAATTGTATAATTTTGTAAATTGCAACTTGTAACATCACTAGATATTTTGTGCAATAGATAATTAACATTGAACTAAATGAGACATGTCTCGTAAGCTTTGCCCTCTTCAAAATCTATGTACAGTATATAAATATAAATTATTTTAACTTGCATGTTGGTCCGATTGATCGATGTGTATAATTAATTATATTTAAATTTGTATTTTCTTGGCAGTCAAAGTTGTATCCTGATGTTGAGCAGTAAACCTTGAGTGTGTTGGTGTAGGTGATGACTGATGAGCGACCAGTCAGGAGTGAACATTAGTCAGAACAGCAGCATCTTTTTTATCCTTCACATTACTTTTGACGTTTGCATCAAAACCATATATTGTATAACTTTTGCGGTTGAATAGATACTTTCACATCTTAGGAAATTATTTATACTATATAATAAATATTATACTTCTTGGGTGATTTTAAAAGCACATGTTTTAGAAGCAAATCTGGTGCATTTGAATTCAGTTAACATTTATTAATCTCTTGCATTTTTGTGATTGATTCTTTTGATTATGGCTGCTGGTTACACCATCCAAGCAAATGTTTAGCCATCTTGGGAGTGATCGTAAATGGTTGAAATACTCATTCATTAATGGGAAATTTATGAGGGAGGAATGCAAAAATTACGAAATTGGATTATGTGATCTTACAAATGAATTGATTTTATTAATATTTGTACTGTATCTAGTGTTCATTGTGCATGTTTGTTTTGCTTTAGACCCCTTGAGTACTACACGTAATAAAAGGAAGGTCACTCTATATCTAATCAACAAATATTCCCTTTTAGCAAAGACAAAATTTATCTGTGTACTTCATTGGTGTTCTTGTTCTATACTGTAGAATGTGCAGTAGTGTGGCTTCCAAAATTGTTCTGTTATTTAAGTTGTATTACAGTTTCCTGTGGGAAATTAGTTGAGCAGGTTGTGGAATGACCATGTATTCCTTGTAGCGGTGCAGTGTTACTCCCTCGTACCAAACAGGCATTGCTGCCTCACTGGATGACATTAGCAACATGCTTTTCACTAGTGACACCCCCTCGACCTTTCAGGTTTATCCGAGAGAGGGCCATTATAAATAAATTGTAATGTGATTTTGAAGTTCTAATATTAAGTGGTAATGAAAACACTAGTTGAAATGCTGTTCTGATGATCCCCTTCATTTTCTCAAATTATATTCATGTATTGTACAGCCACAATATTATTGATCATGAATATTAAATATATATTGTATAGTCACTGAAAGAAGATTCACATATTACTATACAGTAATACTCATGATCATTGCAATCGGTCTCTGAAATCCAATGAGTGCTAAGGGTTGGGCCTATTAGGGTCATAATTTATAATTTAGTTGTAACACAATCCATGCACATGGTACTCAAATGTTATTTTTATGGAATCATAGCTGTCCTCCCTCTGTCATTCCTAATTTTGTTTCAGTATTTTGGAATGTACTTCCTGTTATCAATGGATGCATATTACTGCAGTAATATACTTCCCTGTATTATATTGTGAATATTTAAATAAAGGACCATTGTCCTAGATACAAATGTATTTTAGTAACAGTTGGTAGGTTCCAATATGAGAACTAAAATAGAATTACAAACATTACTTATGATGATAATCACACTATCAAAATTTTATTGTAATCATGTGAGAAAGATTTATATGAACTTCATGGACATGGTGGAAGATTGCCCAGTATAACTAGCAAGTCTTTGGAGTGGTGGTGATGTATGGAATTGAAGGAGTTCTGTTAAATGCTGTTTAAAGTTTGTCAGTAGAAAGTAGACCTTAATGGTATAATATGCAACTTGTTTGATATTAATATAGGTGTACTGCAGGCTTGTCACCATGGTTGCTAATGTATACACAAATAGGGCCATGGTAGAAATGTAAGAGGGGTGTAAATCTAGCATTTAAGGTGAATACTGTACGAGTAATAAGATAAAATAATGCAGTTACAGCGGAACCTCGGCTTACGAATGCTCCTCTTTATGAATTTTTCGGGTTGCAAGCCCAATTTCTTTGTAAAATTTGAATTGTTTTATGAGTTTTGCCTTGAGTTAAGAGTTTATCGATATACGTATGGGTCGACCGAGCGTGTGGTTCTGGGTGGCATGGGCGACCGTGCTTCAGTTTAATTAATAGTGCCTCCTGCGTAGTGTCAATTGTGCTTGAATTCTTTGTAAAGAATTTTATTGTTTTTCTGCTTGTTGAACATAAAAGTAATTATTATATATCATGCCATGGGTCCCAAGAAAGTCAGTGGTAAGGTTCAACCTAAGAAAATAGTTGAATAGAGGCAGTAGAGGATGTCTCTTCCTCATTAAGAAAATGTGTGAAGTATGGGAAGAACTGTAAAGTTTTACGGAAAAGACTCGCACAGATAAAGCTGTTGCAGGCTGTTGCATTGACCTTATTAATGACAATGTGATGTCTCACTACAGACAAGTGTTAAAATGTAGGGAAAAGAAATTATCAAAGAAGGCACCAAGCCAGAATGTAGGGGGGAAAAAATAGGCCTTTAGACAAATTCTTAGTAAGATAAGCAGTGAGCTACAACCAGGTCCTAGTGGTATGCCTGCAAAATGTAGGAGAGAGAGAGAGTGTACCCCAGAGAAGTCATCACTGCCTGATGTTATAATGGAATGGGACTCCCCTTCCAAACAGTAACACCTCTCCTCCTCAACTGTCTTTCATACGCCAATAAGTCATAAATAAAGGTAAGCTATAACTTGTACGTTATAGTAAAAAATGTGTGTATTATGTATGAAAGGTATTTTCAAGTTAATATTTTTGGGAGTGTGGAACGGATTAATTCAATTTACATTACTAGTATTTCATACGGGAAAATTTGTTTCGAGTTATGAGCCGTCCCTGGGAACGGAGTAAATCCGTAAACGGAGGTACCACTGTATGTTATCTTATTACTCATTCAGTATTAATCTTAAATGCTAGGAACCTGCATAGATAAAATTTAACAGAAAAAACTAATTAGTTGACAATTTGATTTAAGATTTAGAGGAAAAATGGTCAAAAGTAAAGTTAGTGTTGGATGTACAGTAGGAGGGTAAGTTGTGAGTCAGCAATAGATACGGATTATCTCTTTCTATATTATATAGTGATAGAGAGTAACAGATATAGAGGGGCAGTACACTGTATAGAGATATAAGCAGAGAAACAAATACATAGAGAACATTGTATCCCCAAGGCTGTTGTATCAACATAGCCACAGGGATGTTGATCCCTGAAATCACCACAAGGTAGAGATTATTATAATTTTATATAATATTAATTATATAAAATACTGTATACCATACATACCATAAAATACTGTATTCATAGGTATTCAGAGCTGAATACCTATGAATATTATCTCTGTCTATATATTTCTCTGCTGTTTATTTCTTGTTTAGGGCTTCTATCCCCCCTAAATAGTACTCTTGCATCTTGGTATACAGTAATTGGAAGAGGATTTCTCAAAATGACATTGTCTAAGGTTGACTAACTGTATAATGAATTATAGGTGTTATAATTTACACAATGTTTCGAACCACCAAGGTTCATTCGCAAGTGGGGGAATGACAAGACATGCAAAAACATCTAATTTATAACACTGGAATGTCAGGTACATGCAAAATGAAGTCCTTACAGTACAATAAAATCGTAGACAAAACAAATAAATGTAGAGGGAAAGTGAGGTGACAGGCCAATAAACTAACCATGCAAAACTAAGTCACTACTCACTACACTAAACTAGTGTAGTGAGAATTCAGGTGACCGTAGTAGGCATGGCATTTTGGGCAGTGACGTTATGGCTTGTTTGCGTTCCGGTCTTGCTTTTGCTCTCGTGATGGGACATAGAATAATTCTGTTGAGTGTAGAACAACCCACCATAAACACTGTATATAACAAAACTTTGTGAATAACAAAATTATTCCCTCTTATGATGTCAACAAGAAGCCATGATGACATCACTGCCCAAAAAGCATACCCTCTATGGTCACCTAAATTTTCACTACACTATTGCCTGACTTTATTCTGTATACTTAGTATATTGGCCCATCACCTCACTTTGCATCAATATTTGTTTTGCCTAAGTTTCTTTTGTACTGTACAGACTTAATTTTGCACGTACCTGACATCCCAGTGTTATAAATTAGACGTTTTCTCATGTCTTATTCCTCACTTGCAAGTGAACCTTGTTGGTTCGAAACATTGTGTAAATAAGTATTATTCATTATACAGTTAGTCTTTTCTTTTAGTCAACCTTGAACAAATATGACATTCAGAGATATCCTTTTCCAATTAAACCAAGATACAAGAGCACTAGTTAGGGGGATAGAAGCCCTAAACAAGAAAATAATAAACACAGAATATGCATATTCAATGAAATACCTTTAAATGAAAACCTGCTGCCAATATACACCATTATCTTTATACATAACTAGATATAGAAAGATAGAGATATACGTAGAGATATATAGAGAGAAATATTGAGAGGTAGTTTGTGTAATTGAGTTGAGAGAAGGAAGTTGCTGGTGCAAAAGCCCCTGGTTAGGAAAACAAAATAGGCATAAGTAATTATCAAAAGAAAGCACCAAGCCAGGGAGAAAATGCAACACCATTAAATGTTACTAGATATTCAAAAAGCACTAAATATTTAAAATGCCAATACAAGAACAAAAGAACACAAGGCAAATGATAGAGAAGATATCAGATTCATTAAGGATTCTCCGACAAATGACCACGAGGAACAGTTGGGAAGGAAGACGCAATCATCCTGAAAATAGGGCATTCTACAAGGAAGTGCATGACTAAGTTGGACAATACAGTTCAGACAATAAGGAACAGGCAACGTTGCATTAAGTCCCCCAAATTGAGCGTGTATGGCCAATATATACCCTAGTCAGTGTCGTTTCCCATGACAAAACGATAATTGCTTAATTGGTAGTGGGAAACGACACTGGCTAGGTTATATATTGACCATACACTCTTAACTCTGAGGGCTTAATGGAAATTAAGTTCCCAATTAAGTACCCCGAGTTAAGCGTGTATGGCCAATATATAACTTGGCCAGTGTCGTTTCCCACCACCAATTACAGAGGAAGGAGATAGGATACCTTTAAGAGTGCACAGTTTGTTTCTTGTAACATCATACTAATGACCCTGCCAACAGTTGTGGATTGAGGAATTAATAAGTAGAAATCTAAATTATAGTAGAGATAAATAGAAAAATAAAATTTTGGGGAGATGGGATAATTGTGGGCAGTCTCCTTAGCAGCAATGTCTGCACATTCAAGGTAACACCAATATATAGAGTAATGTAGTGGGATTGCAAAGAAAGGTGTTCAAGAAATAGGCATTTCATAACAGTAAGAGGGGGTAGAAGCCTCAACCACATAGATCAAGGTCTTGCAAAACTTATGAGAGATCCTTCCTAGGGACAAGACTGGAACATCACAAGGAAAGAATGCAAATATGAACCAAAAGGGAATCGTGAAATATATATATCGAATAGAATACATCAAAACGGTTGAATGAGAGGCAATGCAGTAGACAGGGCAGCCATTATCAAGCTTATTTGCATTCCTCTCTCATGCTGCCTAGTGATGAACACCTCAGGAAGTATAGGACAAGTACAAAGTAATTATCAAAAGCACCAAGCCAGAGAGACTATGTAGCACTATCAAAGCTGCAGGAAATTCAAAAGGAGACTAAAATATCACTAAGGATGCCAATACAATAAAAGCACATAAGGCGAGCGTTAACAAAGGTATCAGATTCGCCAAGGATTCTATCGAGGGACAATAATGACAAAGATGCATGACTGTAACAGGGACACTTCAGTTGGGACAAGGAGCAGCAGAATGATGCTCCATTAAGTGCCCATGAGTTAAATGCGTATTGCCAATACGCAATCTTGCCAGAGCTGTTTCCCACCGCCAGTTATGGTGACAGGAGGAAGGCCAAGGGGCAGGCTATCTTTAAGAGTACGCAGTTTGTTACAAGTAACAGAAGACCAACGATCCTGCCAATGGGCACAGATTGAGGAATGAATGAATGGGTAGAAATCAGAATAAGGAATGCCCTTTCGGGAAATAGGACAAGTGCGGATAGCTTTCTTAGCAGCATTGTCCGCACACTCATTTAAGGGAATACCACTATGGTTGGGAACCCAGCAAAACTCAACCTGTTTAAATCGGGTATAGAGATCAGCAGCAGCTGATATTGGATTTCAACATGACTCCAAAGCCATGAGAACACTATGAGAGTCACCCACAATGACAAAGGGGCACTGATAATGGAAAAGCAATCGACAAAGGGCAAACAAGAGAATACAGTTCAGCCGTGCAGATACTAGCCTCTGGAGGTAGGCAGCACACATAAGTTTGGTCTGGAAAGACAACAAAGTAACCAACACCGTTGGCAGACTTGGACCGATCTGTGACTAGCCTCTTATTTTACTTAATGTCATGACCTCAGACTCCACAGCATCACTGGAAAACCATAGCCTGGGCCAAAGTCTCAATAAACGTCTAG